TCTGTTGCTGAATTAAAATTAATTCTGTCGTTTCTAACCTTTTCTATTTCTCTGTTTCTTAATGTATACTGTACACGCAATTCCTTTTACTTAGGAAATCGTGCGGTTTTATCGATTTAGTAATTATAAATTATAAATTTTTTTACATAAACTAAGGTTTATAATTCTAAACATGCAAACTTTGCATAAAAATATTTTATTGCTGAGTTTTTAGGATGGGTTGGTTATCTTTAATGGAATCGAAACGAGAAAAACGCATGCAAGGATTAATCATATAAAAAGATAAATAGGCGATTCTCATTAATAAATGTCTTAAAATTACTTGGAAATATTCGTTTGACATTTTTCCACCCGATTAAATTCATAACAATGGTGATTTGTTCAATTGGATTGAATTAATGAAAGAACAACCCAACACAGGACGACCTGCCAAGAGATAGGCTCTCCTGGGAGGATTTTCTACGGGCAAACTGGCTTTAATTAGGTGTTAGGCACGTGATCTACGAGAAACTAGTCCCTAGTTAGGTGTTAGACACGAAGAAAATCAGGAAAACTCCACATGGCCAACCCATTGATGTGGCCGAGTGGATAAAACCACCGAACACTAGTTGGTCGTGGGTTCGGCTGGCCGTAACGCCTAAATAAGTGCCTGTACACAATAAGCAAATACAACACGGTTTCGACAACATCAAGGGCCAGTTTCCCTAAAAGATCCGTCGTCCATCTCTCATGTTGGAATAAACCAAACCAAAAGCTATTGATTAGGAGCGAACCCGCGACCAATTACTATTATTCAAAGATCTTATATGAGCATATATGTTTACGTTTAAAATATATTTTCAAATGATTTCACTTCCTTAATTAGTATAGAAATTTCATTGTTATTAAAGATATTTGAAGGATAACGGAACAACAATGAAAAGAATTCGCAACGCCTGGAGAATTTTAAATAACCTAAAAAAAAGCATTTCCATATAAACAGCATGGATGAACGATTCGGACGATATTTCGCTCCAGCTGCCTTATTAACCCCGAGCATCGTTTGAAAAAAAATACTAAAGCGATGTTTCATAAGCATCACCTGTTAGTCGCTCTGACACCATTCGGGTACAACGGCATTGAACACGATTTTTAACACATTTTATGTAATTCGGAAAGTATGTTTTTAGTATATGATAATTTACCCCTCCGTAGAAACTGTGTTATAGTTTACTTTCTCAAGGTTCTTCTGTTACAAAATTGGAACTCAGCTGAAATCCTCCCCCCCACTTTTACGAGCTTTTATGGTATAAAATTGGTTTAAGATGTATTAAAAACATCCTCATTTTGTGTTTTTAAATGAAATTTGGGGTAGGAAAAATGCTTGCTTCAAGTTATAAAATATTTTAGACCGTTATGGCTCTATGTAAACGTACTGTGTTATTTGCTCTATTAATCGATTATTTTTTATTTTTTAAAGGAAAAAACCGTAAATTTAGTAATTGTTAAATATTTATTCCACGTTGTTAAATCACCTCAAACGTTAATATTTGTAAATATTTTCATATAGGTCACGAGTAAATTGTGCCACGAACGTGACCTCACTTATCGTCTCCAAGGTCTACCACTTCAGCAATTTTGATGACATCAAAATATCAAATTCTGTACGAAAGAAAAATGATGTAAATATTAAAAATTAAACTTTGCACTTTATATTTTCTTAATAACTTTCTAAAAAAAAGGAGAATAAATAACTCCGGTTGAGCCATCCTCTTCTGAAAGATTGCAGTTTAAAATCGATGGATCTTTCACGTTTCGTCGCAACTTTCTATTTTTTGTTTTTCCTGTTTACAATTTTTCTATTGTTTTAAAAAAATGGCTTCCGAGCAAAAAGAAAAAGAAAGAAATTCAGTTTTGGTCTCAAAAATTCGACTTTAATGGAGTAGAAAATATAATTGCGGGTTCGTTAGAGGCAATTTTTGACGACTTTTTCCTTTCTTTTCCTTCCATCTTAATCGCTTTATTAGCGTTTGTGTCGCATTAAGAAGATTTTATTTTATAGTTATTTTAGTTAATTCGGCTTTCATTCTTCACTAAAATAGAGTTCAACGTCTGCAGACAATAGAGAAATCAATGGAGCAAACATATTTTATACTGTGTGACTTTCCTTTAACTGAAGATATGTTCTCGATAAGAAGCATGCTATTCTCTCGTTGTATGGTTATTCACTTAAGGCAATATTTTGCAATGCTGAGCAATTAACTAAGAAACAAACAAAGAAAAAAATATATATTTATTTATGTAAGCAAAAATGATTAAAAATCTTACTTGGATGTAAGCCAGAAATGGCACACAAAAACTTTCTTCTTGGATGATTAAGAAAATTCATTTGCTAATGATTTATGGAAATTTAAATTTCACTTGATTTAGAATAACAGAAAATCAAATTTTTCTAGATTTTAATTCGAGAGAGAATCAAAATTTCGCCTCCAACTTGCTAGTTTATCTTAACTTTTAAACATAAACGAAGGAAAAAATCGATTAATCTTCGCATATTTTCTATTATTTACACTCTTATGCTGTAAATAAGTAAAATTCTAGTTAAAAAATAAGTCATTTTAAAATACTTTTTACATTTAGAACAATAATTTATAAGCTTTTTCCTTCTTAAACAAACACCCAATTAACTTTTTTATGCATTAAATAAACGCTTTTATCCTCAATATAAAAAAAATGGATGTACTTAAATGTTTTTGCATTAAAGAGATTAGATAATTAAATAAGTAGCTCATTTAGAAGACAAAAAAAGGAAAGTATATCAGTAATTGTTATTGTGAAATTAATGAAGAATTTCAAATGCTTATTAGGGAGATCGAATGATAATGTTTATTGTTAGAGTTTATAATGCTCTCTATGGTATATGTAATTGTTTGCGAGTGAATGGGCTGTTTATAGAGCATTGATCCATGAAATGTGACTGGCTTTCTTCTGCTTGGTTGCTTATCGACAGAAGACGTGCGAATAATTTTGACACTTTCGCCTCTTTACTGACCCATATACAGTTGTCTGGTGATAAGACTAGAAAATCTACTTCCTTGTCGCAGATTATAGTAGTATAACAGTTGTAGTCACGATGTAGACTCGTCGAGAACATCATTTTAGCTATTTTAGAACAAAAATTCACAAAATATTTGATAAAGTATTCCTTGTTTAAAGCCTTAATTTAGAAAAACGAAATGAATATCGAAGATTCATTCCTCACAAATTAAAAAAGACATTCTATGCATTTCATTTGTTTGAAAAACGAAAGACTAAAGGGGCCTGTTAAAAGACAAAAGAGGCCCCCTCTATCTCCGGCCCTACAAGCTCTCGACAGTCATGTCCCCAATCCTAACAGTAATATCCCTAATCAGAACCTACGAGAGAGAAGAAGCTGGGGATTTTTCCCTGGTCCGGAGAAAAGGGGAAAGCTAAAGGGGCCTACTAAGAGATAAAAAAGGCCCACTGTCTCCAATCCTAAGAAAAACCTAATAAGATTGATTTAAATTGTGTATAAAGTATTAGAAAATTTTACATAATAAATAAAGGAACATCTGCGATAAATCCCGATGATATTATTGATAAGCAAAGGAAAGTGGAAACATCTGGATCACAAGATCCAGAATCTACGCTCAAGATGTTCTTCTTCTGTTTTTAATTTTCCAAACAATTACAGAGAGCATTTTACTGGCTGTTCAAGAAGGGAATCGATCTGGAATTTCAATTACACAAAAACGACTCGATCGAGAATTTACGAATATACTGTATCAGCAATTTATCTAAAGTCAGTTATGAAACACAAAGGAGAAAGTTTCTTAAATGGCGTTACTTTAGAAAATTGAAAGAAAAGAGAAGAAAAAAAAAGCCAAGTCACATGGCATTTATAATGCGGTAGAATAATAAATTTAAATAACGAAAGAATAACACAGAAAATCTTTTAACTTAAAAAGCGGCGATGAATAAATAATCCCGTCGAAAACGTTTCGCTGATGCTAATTTGAATATAATTTGAATGTGAATTTTGATAGATTTTTCTTATAAAGCCAGAAACGAAGTAACCTACTTAAATTAAATCGATTTGTGTATTATACACAACGATACAAGACGGCAAGAATTAAATAAGCTAGATTTACACGGCGGGTGGCCGAGCGGATAAGATGGTACCTACCACAAGCGGATAAGCCTACCACAGGGATCCGGAATCGAATCCGGACGGTTCGAAATAACTCCAGGACTTTTCAGGTGGTCCGTTCGGATTTGTCGGGCCCCGTCCTTCAAATCCATAATCGGCTTGCTGAAAGGAGGCCCTTTCGGTGCCCCAGGGTTCGATTTTGTTCATATACGGCATACGTTCATATATCGTGGCATTCTGCCAAAGGGGGAAGAAATACCTCCAGAAAGGTCTTTTTACGGGAAACTGGCACCTTTAGGTGTTACTAACGTGAAGAAAACGAGAAAACTCCATGACCAGGCGCGAACCCACTACCAGTGTTTGATGGTTTTATCCATTCGGCTACTGGTGGGCCTTAGTGTCCCAGGGAGAAGAAGATTTTTTTAAGGTAGAATGTTTCTACACGAGTTTCTAAAATATCACTTCTTTAATTAAATGCTTTATCATTGACTTTTATTTTAACTTTTGAATATGGAAATATTTGTTGAAACAGAATTACTTAGTGAATTTTCTAAAGAATCTCATTTTTAAAAGAATTATTTGATTAATTTTTATTGAATTGTTAATCTTGGACACACGATCTTTTTTTTTATTTGTTAAATCTTAAAAAAGAAAAAAATTCTTTAAGTACACGAAATATCTCGTGACTCAAATATGTATATTGATATCGTGACTTTGGTGTTTGGTTTATCAATGATTTTTTCCCTCTTAAATTTAAAATGGATTTAGTTTTATCAAAGTTTTTTGATAAAACTAAATCCATTAAAACTTTAATGGAATTCTTTTTATTTAATATATTTATACTTAAGTTTAAATAGAGATATTTCAAGCTCTTCCATTGATTTACTGGATATTTTTCTTTCACGTTTTATAAAATTATTTGTTAAATAATCTTAACTTTTGTTTAACATTCTGGGGCCTTTTATACCTTTTTATTACGTATAATATTTGTTTAGCTTGGAGTGCATTTTCGTGTATGGCTCTCTTTATTTATAATGAAATTTTATATGGAAAATACGATAAGAGATCGTTGGCCTTTTGCTAACGATCCCATTCTCTTACAACGAATGTTTCGTTCTCACACAATTTAGATTTTGTGTCAAAATTATTAATAGTGCAAACGCTATAAATAAATTATAATACAATTACCATACCGGGACAATACTGTAAAAGAAAAATATTTTAAAAATCCTATTAGAAACAATACTGTAAGCGTTATCACACATTAAACACCTTCGAATTTTCATTTAATTCTAATCAAACAATATCGGGACATCGATAAAATGTATCGAAAACAATTGTAAAGTATCACGTGTTAAGCTTTGAATAATTTGCCAGGCACTTCACAGAATGTTGTAAACATAGTCTGGTCCTAACAAGAGACGTCGCCATAGTGACTGTTTTTATCGATTGAATGTTAAACCAGCCAGTTTCCATTGTGCTTGTGTTAGGGTGTGGCCCAAGAGATTCCATAAAGTTCAGTTAGGAACTCGGTATCTCAACATGAGATATGGTAGATCAATATCCTCTAAGCATTCAACATTGAATTGAGTAATCAAATCGTTGGAAGGAAAACTTGGACTATTTTTATACTCTTCTCTCCAGAGATCTTGAAAAAGTAAGTAACCGAGAAAACGAACAACGACTTAAATTCTTTTCCTTTTTTTTCCTGCCTCGTAAAATAATTAAGTATCTCGCTGTTAGTTTATCATCTTTAAGATAACTTTTAACGGCCGTTAAGCGATTGTTTAAGAGCAATTACTCTACATACTTATGCCTTTCATAAACTTCCCCCTCCCGTATCGACGCTGTTAACGCTTCACCTTTTTTTTTGTTTGTTTTTTTTTTTAGTGCAGTAATAATTACCTTATTGCGGCGATAAATAGTTCGAAATATCGATAGAAACTTTTGTTGATAGAAATGTAAACAGATCGATAAATTCCACGTTTGTGTATTATTGTTACAGCATGTTAGTTTCTTAACAGGCGGTTGCAACTTGCAACCGGCTGTTAATTACTAAAAAAATGTTTGTATTTTTATTAAAAAATGGCTGATTTTAATAAGTAAAAGTGTGGATGCAAGATTCTTTATTATTTACGAAATTGTATTAACGTTTTGTCTGTTCGTTGCAAATTATACTATCCTATGGGAAATTAACTAATTTAGCCTCAGTTTGACTCATTTGAAAATAGCCAAACAAACAGAAAACATCGAATTGACTTTATTGTCTCTCGTTTAACCAGGTAAGATAATTTACCATTATTATTATTACTATTATTGCCTATGTTTATTTCTTACCATAGTTAAAAGATTCATGCCTATCAAGACATTTCTTTTGTTCTGTGCCAGTTAAAAAAAAAAAGATATATAAATTTACAAGAAAATTTTATGGCCATTTCTTTGTTCGAAAGTATAGCGACCTAAAAACTTATTCATTGCAGTAACACTGAGTCACTATCTACTTAAGCTATTTTGAAACTCATTACAAAAGCGAATTATGAAGAAATTTACATAACTATTTTAGCTATAATTAGGCCTACGTGATTTTTTTAATAATAAGTACGTAGAATTTCTCTCTGTGTACAATTTAGGAGACAAAATAAATGATTTTATATTAATTTAAATTTTAAAAAGATCTCGTTTCATATATATACCCCCTGGGCATTAGAGTAATTTCTCTTTGATGAATTACCTCTTTGAGAGTTTTTGCGATTTATTTCGAACGTGTTTTTTTAGCCGATAAATATGATAATTTTTTTGAATATTTTTGAAAATCTGGAGTTTGCAATTTGCTTTTTTTCTTCTTTACTCAACCATTTCCCAATGTAGGAATATATACACACCGCAGCAGAAAGCGTTATGGAAGATAAAGAATCAGGTAATACGTCTAACAAATTTTCTACTTGGATAATTTAAAATTAAGTAGAAATTTACTCCTGTACAGTATCGTCTCCAACGGAATCTTACCATAGATTCCCATCAGAGGTTGGTGATAAGCCAGTGGAAGCGGTCTGTCCAAAATGCAGGAAAAAAGTAATGACAGAAGTTACTAAAGTTACTGGAGCCTTTGCTTATCTAATGGCAAGCGCTTTGACACCATTATTATGGTAAATGATGCCATTTTGAAATCTCTTTCTCGCTTTAAACGGGTCGAATGAATGAACGTAACCAGTTTTTTTATTATATTTTTTTTCATTTCAGTTGTTGCTTACCATTCATTATGACTTGTTTCAAAGACATCATTCACACTTGTCCACAATGCCAAGAAACTTTGGCTATGAGGAGTCGAAGCTCATAACTTTTACTCACGTCTTTACCAAGTTTAAAAACCAAAAAAAAAAAATAAATAATGTTTTTTNGAAACAGATATAAATGAAACTTGCAAGCAATTCTATAAGCACTAACAAGAATATAATATCATGAGGCATTATACTCAATTGAGTAACTTATATAGTGATATCCAATGCTCTGAGAATTCCAAAGTTGGACAATTGCACAGTATTTTTGTTACTGATAAACAAGTCCTCCTATATATATATATATATATATATGTTCGTTGTTTCTATATAAAAAAAACATTAAAAAAAGTTAAAAAATATTTATATTTAATTAATTATCTGTAAAAAATGATTTTTTATACCAAAAAATATGAATGTTTGTATATGTATTTTTTTAATTTATAAATTGCAGTATACGATTTCTGAGAGATTTTTTAATGTTCAACACGAGCGCTATATGATATTATATTTATAAAAAATATATATATATATGAATTTATTCGTATATTTTATTTTTTTAATAATAGCGAACTTATCTTTATACTCTTCTAAAAGATTTTCTTAAAGCAAAGTTTTAATTATTATTATTATTATTATTATTCGCCATTACTTTCTATATAAAAAAAATTGAAAAAAAAATAAACTTTTTCCGCCATTTTTCACCATTTAAAACAATTGTGCTGTATCGCTGTATTTTGAAATTGTTGCATAATTCGAATCGGGTCATCTCTTCAATACTTCTACACGAAGTCTACTTTAAGAAGAAAAACTAAAAATTATGATATTTTTTCTTACAGTTGTGCATGTATACGTTAATATTTATATAATGTACAACGTGACAAAAAGAAATCTTTAAAACGCTTTCTCCGATGACCCAAATGCCATTGTATTTATTGTACACGATTACGAAACTTTCCTTTATATTTTCAAATAAAATGTATTATTATTATTACTATTATTATTATTATACAACTTAAATTTTGTCATTTTATTATTGTGTCGTTAATTACATTATTAATTAATTATAAATTTATTAGTTCGTATTTCAAAATTTAGAGGGCGCTAATATGCTCATGATTAAACATGTGCGTAAATGTTTTTTTTTGTTTTTTTATATTAAACTCGATTTATTTGTTGGCATAAATATTTGAATTTTTATATAAAATTTAAAAATAAATTTTAGCTATTTTTAGTGTTAAAAAGTTAATTTCGTACTTTTATTTATATATATAGGCCTATATGTATGCGATTTTTAAAATTTTTAAATCACAATACTTTTTTGTGTTCTGTTTGTGACGTAGGCACCTAATTAAACTATTTAAATTATTAATTAAATACGAATAAACGAAACGAGTGTCTTTAAAACGGAAGTTATCGTGATGAATATTATAATAGCCTGCATGTGTCACGCCCTAAGACTATAAAATGTGATACATCAAAGAGAATTCACCAATAGAATATATGATAATAAGTGACGTCAGTAAAGAGCTTATGCAGTAAAAGAGTAGAAGGTATTCAAGTTGGCAGGTAAGTTCTTTACCTCTTTTTTTCCCCCATGTTTCCTTTTGTGATTTTTTTTTCCTCGAAAATAAAATACCTCTCGTAACAATTCCTTACACGATTATGCCAATTAACTACTTCACTAATTTTTAAATATACTTACAAAGGACACAAATCTTAAAATAGAATTCAAACAGAATATTGACATTGCTTCGAAATACAAAGGCTTGTTTTAATCTGTATTATTTTATTATATGACAATTTTGGTAATAAATAAACGTATAATTGTACTGAGAGACTTTACATTTTTGTGTGTTTTTATTATATAAATTCGAAAAATTAATTTTATACAAAATTATTATAATTTATCTTTATTTAAATCGTTATGACATTATACTATAGTTGATATTTCTGTCTAACTAATTCTAATTACAACGTGTAGGTGGTTTTTTTATGCTTAGCAACAATCGAATCTATGCTTAATATTCATTCTCCAATCCGAAAAACATGTGTTGCCTAATATTTTGCAATACATAATCTAATAATTATAAAGTATTTCACATATATAACTGAAATATAACGAGAGTTAATAATAAATATATATGATTCTATAATAATAAAATTATTATAGATTCATATATATTTAATAATATGACTTTATAATAAAAAATTAGAAAATCATTACATAGTATAATGATTTGTTATAAGCTTTTACCATGTAATTAATACTAAAATACAAATATAGAAATAAAAACATGTAATTAAATTTTATAAAATGAATTAATTTTTTTAATTGTTTACAGGCAACTCCAATAACGAATCTACTTTCATCTTTACAAGTAAGTAAATTTAATAAATTAATTTTTAAAATGTATTTACTATATAGTTCTGTATATGTAATTATCTGTTTTTAAGTTAATTACTATAAAATTTTTTTAGTAAACTTTACAGTAAAAATAGTCAGAAAACTGTATTTTATTACTTTCTTCACCATATAAAGGGTGTTTCTTATTAAAATCGAAGTATTGTGGCAATAAACTCTGATTGAATTTTGATCGCATAAGCATCTACTTTTACAAGTAACACGTATCTTCTGATGATTGCTGAGAAGTCAGATTTATGGAGATTCATACATGAAATTAAATGTATTACTTACAAGCTTCCTGGAACACAGTCTATGAACAATGAGAAGCAAGAGGTAACGGAAACATTATTTCTTTATCTCTGGTTTCTCAGTAACCATTTGAGTGGAAGAATGTTTAAAGAGAAGATATTAATAACAAAAATTTAAATATTCTTAATGGATAATAATACAAAATGTTGTAATAAAACAATTATTATAAACAGAACTATAGTCTAACAATAATTACTTTAATGATTTCGGTTCTATTTTCGACTCTGTTTTATTATTGTTTTTCTGTTTCTGGACGTCTACACAAAATTACGAAATGTGAAATTTTTCAAAAAAGTTTATCTATATTTATGTATGCATTCCATGTATGCAAGAAGAGGGGAGATTATTTTTATTGCACAATATTTACGTAAATATTGTACAATATTTGCAGTTTAATAAATTTTATTGTTATTAACATAGTCATAAATAGAATTCTGTTTCTAATTTATTTTCATATATTTTAGTATTGAAAATAGGAACATTTCTTGATATTTGAAATCGAAATAATTTTCAAATGGAATTTGAAACAATTATCTTGTGTGCACTATACAATGAATTCGACATCGTGAATGGTTTACTCAGTAATTGGTAGTTCACTACATCGAAAGTGTATTTTAAACGTATAATTATATATACTATACCAAAGGATTTCCTCCATCCTTTACAACAAATTCTAATATTCTTCAAAAAGTTAACATTTTTTTTATTGTCCTGAGAGCATATAAAATACATTGATATATGATATATATAGACGCTTACATTAAAATATAATAAACTAGTACAGTTAAAAGTCATAGATGTTGGAATCATGACTCAATATAGAACGTTAATAAGCGTTTAGTTTTTTTATATTTCAATTTTTAAACATTTTTAAACAAAAATTGATCTTTTTAATAAATGGATAGTTAGACCGAAATACAAAAACAATGTATACAGATGAAAATAAAGATATTTTGTTTTGACTTTTTGACTAAGATCTCCTCTATTTGCTAAATTGAAGCTACACCAGTGTAATAAGTCCTATTAATAAACAAGGTCCAAAGTAGACAAGGATACAAACAAAAATTGATAATAGTAAGGACATAGAGGCAAAAAGAGCTAATATACTGTTTACTTTTATCTTTTGTTCAGCCTTCTTTTAATTTGTTTACATTACTTATATACATATAGCTTACGCCATTTTATATAGTGATTTTTGTGTAATCACTACGTGAGATTCTTATTTAGTGATCTTTTGATGCAGTAACACAGTTCATCACATTAGTATACTATACTGTAAGTACAGTAAACTGTGTAAATCAGTTACTGCATCAAAAGATCACTATATATAAAAAGTTCCCATGCAACTTCATATATTATATAGTTAAAGTTAGAACTTTTATACTATATGTATACAAAGATAAGACTAATATAATGTTCAAACTTTTATTTAATTAACTTGGATTCTAATAACAATTATGCTATACTGTTATCTTAATGTGAAAGTTTTTTTATTACAAAACTACTCTCTCATCAAATATTGTGTTTTATTTATAATAATATAATATATTAATGAAGTCGAATTTTTTACTATTGCTTATATTATAAGTACTTAGTAATAAAATAAATATTTTATTACTTTAATTATTATTATTTTAAATAAATCCTTTCCTAACATACTATAAGGCCAGATTATTTTTGACCAGACAGAGACAAATCAAAAGCGTATAAGAAAAATTTGAGTTGATATTACTGAAAGTTTTATACATTAGAAATTATTAGTTAGAAGTACAGTAATTGGTAAAGTATAGTCTAAGTTATATAATAAATGGTTCAAATTTCAATGATAATTTTGATTACAAGACTAAAGTATAACTAATTTTTCTGTCTGTTGATTATATGGTGTATTACCAAGTGAAACGTTTAATATTCATAAAATCGTGGGATTAACGTTTTAGAGTTATATTTTAATATAAAAATGTTGAAAATTTTCCAAGTTAGTCTTTTAATCCGATAATGTAGACGTCGCGTCAGACGAAAGTGTCAACTACTAGATTGTATGTCTACATCGTCTCGCCAATCATTTACCAAAGATCTGTAATGGGATTCTCATAATTAGAACGATAAACAAAACGGAGAAAGCAATGAGAAGTGAGAAATGCATTCCCAGGAAGGAGAGTCGACTTCCAGATGACCTCTTAGACTTTCGATGAGAATTTCATCTAATTAAAGAGAGCCGGGTGAATGTTCGCTAGTGGTGTGCAAATCAGTTACTTTTGGGTAACAGGCAGAGAATATCGGTATTCATTATTAATCAATAATACTTGCTAGTTACGCGCGAACCCGTTACCATTATGAGAAACTGAACCTAAAATAATGGTTATTCATTACTCAGCTTTCGTTACTCGATTATTCGCTAGA